CTAACCCTAACCCTAACCCTAACCCTAACCCTAACCCTAACCCGTGTAAGCTTACCTTGTCCAAACATTTCAGTTCCTCCACTGGAAACACCGTTTTCATGCCCTTTGCACACTGTTTGCTCATGGTTGCGTTCTTGTTAATTTCCAATAAACGAATCAAATTACTTACGTTCGATGATATGGATGCACATTATACCATAGATTCACTGACATATGGTAATAAGAATTTGTCCATAGACGATCGGAATGATATTTAGAAACGTGCATAATTTTATACTATCTAGCAACAGCAACTTACTTACAAATTGATTGGTATTATATTTCCTCTTCTATTGCTTTCGGAGAATAACATGTTACCATACTAACATGTATATTTTACCTTTATTTTAATAAACTGTTGTTTAAACATTGTACTTATTTTGGGACTATATGCCTTGATAACGTGGAAAACCAACTCTTCATCATGCAATATGTTTGAACGAAACTGTCATGCCTACCATCATCAAGTTTAAAGGGTGCATTTTAATGTTTTACTAACATCATTTACTTAGTGTAAACGTATAACATGTCTAATTATGCAAGATGACAAACATATTAAAATCCTTTAAACTAAGCTGTTCTTATGCGCGCGCAAATACTTGTCACGTGATGCACAGTAAGATGCACGTTTTGATAATTTCTGACAATTCTTGCAGTTGTCATGGTTTGCCTGTTTAACATGGAAATATTTTGGGAGGAATATATATGACTCATAATTTGTTGATGCATCGTCAGTAAACAGCCTACATGCATGCATTGTTGCGTACCTTTAAATGTGTTATTAATCAATTATCCGGTTCCAATGACTAACCTTTAAAGCCATTATCATTTGTTCAATTCAGAGCCTTTCATGTAATGAAATGCATTTCACATTAATCAGGCATCTGTCCACCGGTGGCGAGTCTTAAAAATGTATTTAAATGTTACACCAAATGTTACGCGCTGAGTTGGGCCAGCGGGGAAAACAGAGACCGTTAGTTATATATATTCTCTAATATATTGCAAAAGAACATCCAGCACGCCCTTGTCTAGGGTTAACATGATTAAACACTACACTGTAAGCAAGTTAGCCACACTGTAACTAAGTGTGACTAGACACGTGACTGTCCACATGACTCAATAGTATGTACGACAAACAATACAAGCACATGTAGCTCATTATGATAACCGATGAGGTGAAGTGTGACTGCAATTGTGAAAGGTGTGATTATATATGTGACTTATCGTGATGACACATGTGACTCATAACACTGACGCGTGTGACTAACAGTAACGACATTTCAGACTTATCGATTCATAAGGACGTGTACAAAATCCTCTACAGCTCAATGAATGTGATAGCCAACATAATTATCTGTGACAAAGTATAAGTATCATTATCAGAGCAACAAATCTTCATAACAATAATGTATGTGAATGTTAATAGACAAACATGACATGTGACAAAAATGACAAAATATGACAACATATGACAAAACTGACAAAGATTACAAAATATGACAACATATGACGAAATGTGACAATATGACAAAGTTAACCCAGACTTCATTCTGTTATTTTGCTTTTGGAACAAAACACAACAACCCTAACACATCCCCTTATCCAGCTGTGTTCCCTCACAATGTAAGGAGTATTCCAATTAACAGGTATAGCAATGCTAAAGACCTGTCAATTAAACTGTGTTGATTGGTACACTGGGATTCTGTTTGGCTGTACCTGGTCAAGGTTACTTTGCATACAGGCAATTGCTCCAATGTCAATTCTGTACACTGCACATACCACCCAGATGGAGCACTGACATATCTTTTATTTTTCCAGTATATAATTATATAAAGTAACTTTCTCGCTGAAGTTGGTGTTACGGGTAAATATAATGAGTTTTATTGATGTGTTGAATTACCATATAATAAGCTATGACAAGTATAATATCATTTCTGTGTGTGTTAATTAAAGGTGTGAATATCAGTCACACCATCTATGGTTCAGTGATCAAGGTAATTGACCTATTTCAACACCCTGACAAATAAGTGTCCCCATCAGACACTACAATTTACCTGAACGCATACATCTTTAGAACAATCGGTAGATACATCAAAAGAAGGTATGAGAAAGTGGATTCTTCATGTAAATGAAAAATGTATGGTATGCAAAAATCGTTTAAGAATTACAGAAAGTATTACTAAGCAACCATAAATTACTTTTAGATTATCAATTATATCTTAGAGTGAATTGTTCAAACAGTAAAGTATTTTGTCTCTTATTACTTCAATATTGTAAACAGAAAGTTTCATTTCTATGTTTTAATGTTCTTTCTAAAATCAAATTAACCTCTGACTTATTAATTGGTAAACAATATACCTAGACAATGCATGATCCTTTACCTTTCACTGTAAAATGACCTAAATCTGTATAAGGGACTGTTATATGCTAAGTTGTTACCAGCTATTCCATTTCCTATAAACTTATAATCTAACTGAGCATTATAGATGGTTTGAATTTAACAGTCTCAGTACAAATTGTAGATTTGAAGATAATTTTAAAATCTATATAGATTATTGTTATTGGAAAAACCAAAACAAAATAATAAGAGCATTAAAGGTATATAGTAAATACGCGTCTTCATATCCATTTTAATTTCATATAGAAAATATTTCCTAACATATTAATCTGAATAACTTTCACATGAACTGGTGACAAATACAGATAAATCAATCCAACTTTTACAAAATAGACTATACTTGTTGTGAAAACATATTTCCTATTTATGTTTTTAAAATGTATGCATTTAGGGTCAATTTCAGCTGGTAAAATCATGGGAAACTGAATCACCAAGCCTTTGTTCAACTAATGATTTAATTTACTTTTTTCATTAAAGTTTATGATTTGATGACGAATGGTATGAACCCTTCTTGATTCAGAAATAACACCAGTATGATAATCCTATCGTTCAAAAAATATCACACCAATTGCCTCAGAAAGTATTTCATATTTTAAGAATGAACAAATTTATCTTATACTGCATTTAACATTCAAATTATAACAAACAAAAACCAAATCTTTCGTTGGCAAATTATTGAATATGTAATATTGTAATCATTCGTTCTTAGTATGTATGTCCATTAAGCTATACATTTGTATTAAAAAAGAAGAGTTAACTTTCTTCATTATGTATAATCAGTATCTGGATGAACGCTTAATCAGAAAAAGACGGAACTAATTGTCTTTTCCCCAAAGTGTAAGCAAACAAAGGCTCTCCAGTTCAAGGTCGGTGCCAGAACTATTGAGACTGTTCCAGCTGTTAAAAACCTAGGGGAATACTTTGATAGTTCACTAAACATGGAGAAACAAGTGCACGCTATTGCCAAATCCTGTTACTACCAGATCAGGAAGATCGGCTGTATTCGGCTGTTTATAACTGCAGATGCATGAAAGATTTAGGTGCATTCACTTGTTACCTCTCGATTGGATTATGGTAACGCCTTGCTCTGTGGTATATCTGACAAACTATCTAGTCGTCTGCAGAGGGTCCAGAACACAGCAGCACGGTTAGTTACTCATATTCGAAAGAGAGAGCACATCACACCTGTGCTTTATTCGTTGCACTGGTTACCTGTACGATACAGGTCGCAGTACAAAATTCTGGTGTACACATACAAGGTACTGAATGGAACAGCTCCTCAGTACCTACAGGAGCTTGTTACCCTGTATCAGCCGTCACGATCACTGCGGTCGGAGTCATAATCTTTGTCGTGTGTCCCAAAATCTCGTACTTTGACCTACGGAAACAGATGCTTTGGGAGGGTTTCGGCTACGTTGTGGAATAGCTTACCATCTGCTATTGGAAAGTCAAATACCCTGGCCAAGTTCAAGAGGGACATAACTCACCTCTTCACGTCTGCATTTTAGAATCCTTGCGAAGACGTCATGTAGCTACCACCTTTTTATTTGATCAATTATGTGCACTTTGCTTGCTTAATAAAATTTAATGTTAAAAATTAAACTTATTTATCTAAGCACAAATTAGGTTTATCTTTATTGGTTGGTTGTTACCTAAACCTAGCGGAGCATATGAATGTTAGAGTTATCTCCCCTATAACTTCCTCTTGCTATCTCAGAATCCATGATGGTAAGCACAATCATATTTTGTCAAAACAAATTTAAGTTTGTGTATCTAAATTCTAAATTTTCGCTATTTTTGAAATATATTTATACTTTACGGAACTACAATATTTCAATTGATGACATATCAAAAGGCCTAGTTGGTAATGTTTCACGTGTAGTAGTTTAGATGTTAGTTTGCCGGAGCGTCGTGTTTAGCTTGGGGGATGAGGGTGACCGCCATCGCCTTGCTGGAATATTTGTCGTCGGGTTCCTGAATTTTGTGGGAAATCGTTATCGACTGTGTACTTTTTCATTGTGGGTGCGTATTATGTAACCTAATACTTTATCGGTGTTCACTAGTTTTTGGCAAATTCAAATATCTTCGTATATTTCTAGTTTTTCGCGGGGATTGCCGTCACGTGACATGGTGCAGCGATCATGAGTGACTTAATTAGATAGCATCTAATTCCGTGGTTATGGTCACTTATTTGGAATATGATGGTAGGCCTATTGTCTACATAATACGGTTATTTAGTCGTGTGTTAGTCAAACAGATGAACTTTTGAGGCAAGTTACAGCATTTATTGCTGTTTGAGTTTCGATTTCACATGTGTGTTTGTCTCAAGTGTGTTGGAGTTACCTCCCCTATTGCACTTGTGTACTATATATTTTTTTCTAAGTGGTTATTTTAGCATTCCGAGTTAATTTGGTAAATAGCTGTTTTCGTATCGGGTGTTTCATTGGTTCTGTGATATTTGTATGTTTACATGTACGCCGATTTTGATGCTCCGGGTTGATCTTGTCCTTATTTTGGAGAAATGACGTGTGTTTCTACACATGTGTGCATTTCGTTGTTGGAGTTACCTCCCGTCTCACAGTTGGAATATTGCACTGTTGCATACATATTTGTTTATAGCGGGCTGTTCAATATTAGTAGATGATGCATGTGGTGGTCACAAAAGGTGTTGATAGCAATTATAATACCTCCAACTAGTGATAGGGAGGTAGGTCTCTAAATAAAAAAAAAGTTTTTTCAAGTCATCATTGGCATTAGGCCAGATTATTTTATTTCACACACAATTCTGTCATGTATGATATAACTGTTACATATTCTACAAAATTGTTGCATACTTTTTCAATGCATAGTTAATGCGCTGTGATTTATTGGAAATGTCAGGTTTAATCAACCAATTGCTTATAATATCTGTCAATTTGTCAATGTTTGACCAAACATAACTTGTCTTGAATTGTTTGTAACTTAATTCAGTTCTATGCTCAGAGTTAAATGCTTGTATAGTGTTGAGTAACAGAAATTGATTTAATATGTTCTCCAATTTAAACTAATATTCTACCTGATTTAATTAGTCGATCATAAAATTGGTCGAATTGTTTTTAATATTAATTTTCAATATTTCTGCCTTGAGTTAAATTCAGCATGCCTAAGGCTAAATCGAACTCCAGGACGGTTCCAGTAAGGGTTCATGGTACCAGGAAGAGGGGCCAAGAGGTTGCGCTACTGGGTCAGCACGGTTATCCGAGGAACAGCTGTCACGGGTGGCTGATTCTGTGTTTGACAGGATGGCCCCAAGATTTGAGGAGTTAATAACTCCCATCAGAAACTCTCCAGCAATAGGTGAGAACATTGGTCAGCCCATTACAATTGAGGAGGGTTTTAATGATAGTTATCCCTCTCTCAATGCCGTTTCCGTTGTACAGGAGGAATTGGGGGCTAATGTGCCTGAGGGTTTTCGCTAGAAAATCGTAAATGGCGAATATGTGGATTTAGGGCTATTATTGGCCAAACCAGTCAACCAGGAGCAGTCAGCTAAGCTTACGTTAGTAGGGGGTGAACTGGCTATGTCTGCAAAGTCACAGTCTGTTAAAATTTCAGATATAGATAAATGGACAGATGCCTTTCTGGTTTTTGTCAGTCTGTATGGGTCAGTCCATCCTACTCAAATGGCCGGGTTGTTGAAATACATGCATACTGTCCGGCTGGGCGCTCGTCGCACTTCCGATTTTGGTTGGAAGCTCTATGATGAGCAATTTGGGTTAAAGAAGGCCAGAAATCCTTCCGCCTCATGGGGTGTGGTCGACCAGGAGCTCTGGCTCCTTTATCTCTACATAAATCAGCAGCCACATCAGATTGCAACTTCATCTGTAAATACTAATGCACAGCTGAAATGCTATGACTTTAATTACAGTAATAACTGTAATAAGAACCCATGTCATTACTTGCATGAATGTTAACGTTGCAGTGGTAGGCACCCTTCCATGAATTATTATCGTACTATGTATACCAGCAACTCTAATTTTAGATCAGGAGGTTTCCGAAATGGCAGAAGTTTCCGGGCCTGGTCAGCTGTTGGTGTAGAGCTACAGACTCGAGCATTTCGTCCTATTGATGTAAAAACTTTGGTAAAGAGCATTCGGGAGGTGTGAAACCCCTGCTGCTGCCCATGGCTAGTGCTGGAGGAACACAGGTAAAATCTTCAGGGACCAGTAATCTGAATATAAACCAACCGTTTTGTCTTTTAACAAACCGTTCTGTCTTTTAAACGAAAATTGCTGACGTTTAAATGACTTGCTGACTTTAAAACGACAATGCTGAGTTTAACCTAACCATAGTAATTTAAAGTGAATTTCAGTTAAAAGTCAGCATGGTTGGGTTATATTCAGCATTGTTGGATAATAGTCAGCATGGTTGGGTTATATTACCATAATATGAGGAAAGTCAGCATTTTGTAGTCACCAGTGGTTAGAGAGATTCGCGTAAAAAACACAGTCATGATGGAGTTAGCTCGCTTACTGTATGTGTGGCCCCCCCTGCACACATGTATTGGTCATACGGTTTAAAAAGTCGTGATACATCATAGCCGATTGTAACGGCATTTCATTCACAACACTCAATTATTAAAAAGAAGAAAACAATTCTGTATTGCAAATCAGAGATAAACACCTTATTGTCGATAAACAGGATGTGTTCTTTATACGGAAGGTTTGAATTGACATAGAATGGCTTGGCTTTTCAGGTAATAATGTCTTGTAATTACGAATGGGTTTTTTGCATTCTTTTAAGCAACGTTAAACACTGGTTTTATTATAGGATGGTGCAGAATTTGTCTTCAGTGACGAATTGGTAGTAAGACAATGTATAGCGGTAGGTAACGAGATGAAGCTTGTTGTTAAGGAAACGAGGGACTCGTGTGGTACTAACGAGTGTAAGGTCCAGGATGGTCAATATACGTTTGTATGTAAGGCACGACACCCAGGACATCATTTTGAGGCTTGTACAGGGAAAACATTGATGATCAGTATCATATAGATATTGTTGTAAGTTATTTCAGTCTTAACCACTGTTTTGCATAGCAAATCTTCAATCCCACCTGTATCGCCATTATCGTAATGACGTTACAAATTTTCATTAGTATATTTGAACATCTATGATATAACGATACTCCAAGAACGGTAAACATAAACGTTTAACTGTGTTGATTTGTTGTTTACAGTCGATATGAATAGTATAGCGTAACATGCAAACAAACCATAACGTGTCATTCATATAGACTATACATGTCATTACGACACAGTTCAATGCTTAATCACATATTACCGTAGTTGTAATGAATAAATATCTTTTTTAAACGATGCTATTATCACTTGTACAATATTTAAATATTGTTGTTTTTTCTGTAATTATTTTATCGGTTCTGAAGCGCCGAGGGGAATGTATGTCGTACGAAGTTGCAGGGCTCGGACTATCAGAGAGCAGTATCACAAACAGTAACCGGGAAAACTTGCCGAACTTGGAACACAAATAGAGCACACAGATATGCTATTCTTGGTGCGCAAATCGGTTGTCGAAATCCAAATGGTGAAAAAATGGCGCCATGGTGTTTCGTTAACCCCAGAGATGACTGGGAATATTGTGACATACCCATGTGTAGTGAGGATATATTATATTTTAATATTGATACAACTGATCAATTTTGCGGTAATCTAAGCTATAGTGCGATATTAAGAAACTTTAAAGTCACTCTTTTCCAAGCTTTCGGGCTTAGCCCTTTGTCAGAGATTAAATGTCACCGGACCTCAATGTCACATCCATCTTAACAAACATGATGATAACTATAGATGGACAATTAGTCTTATATTGCGATGTATTTATGTTTAATGTGTGCACTGAAGTTCTCAAGCTTGTGTACAGGTGTTAACTGCAGTGCATATTAATCCTTATAATATGTCTGGTTTTAATCAGTTAATATATATCTTGAATTTAACCTTGCTTCTCTGCTATCTAAAAGAATTATACATAGTTTATATTCATTAACAAAAAAGTATCGAAAAAGTATTCTTAAATCACGCACTTATATACTAATCTAATTCCGTGCTTAACTGAAAGTGATATTTTCTAGTATACATTTGCGTAAATATTCTTTTAAATAACGATAACATGTAAAAGTATCAGCGGTTTAAATATTTTGATATTCTGTCTCAAAGACATATTCGTTAATATTCATTTATGGATAATCAGTATTTTGTTACACACAAGACAGTTGTACGTACACCGTCCGAACATAGTGCGCACAGCTGGGCGATTTAACAATCGATCGCCGCTTTGTGAGAATAAACGCGCACATTATATCGAATTATCGATTTTGCGGAATGGAAAACACCTGCAAGGCTCGGGTGAAATATGGCATTTTTTTATGCTTGTTTCACATCACATGCATGTATAACAATGTGTTAAAAAGTCAATAATGTCGAGATAATTCAAGATGTCCCATAAATACATTAACATATGATAGGGTCCTATTTGTGCCCATAGCTGTACCGCTGACTTGTATGTAGTTTTCCTCATTAAATGTGAAATTTTAAGTGTGAGGACCAGTCTAAGTAAACCAGCTTGATGGGTGTTTGATACCACGTCGTTCCCATGCTTCACGACAAGCTGAGGATCCAATGTTGGACACTTTCGACCTACCAGAGACAATGGTAGACCGGGTTTGCCATGCCCAACTCTAGTTCACTTGTGCAGAGGGTTCCATTCACTTCCCGGCCAAAACGATAAACTAAAAAAACTTTTGCTGTATCGTTCAGAGGATCTCCTTGACCCTGATATTCTGTCTACTTCCAACACTGCACCAGATAATTAACACTACAAAATCAAGCGGAACTTAGCTCAACGAGGATCAGGATCTGATGTTGAGTACCTTTTCGGTGAACCTTCGAAAAGTGCATTGAAGGTAAAATCTGGAGATTTAGGCTTTGATGCAAAGAGTACAATGCTTTTGCACTTTGTGAGTTGTGTGAATTACATTCTCAACAGTTCTGAGTTTGACCCATGCTATTTCTTTAGTTTATGTTGGATCTTGATGAAATCAAATGCTATATTTTACTGTAGACTAGGTTTATTGTGATACATCTATATTTCTGACATGTGTATAACTTGATAAATAATGCTTTAAAAAGTCAATGCTGTAATATTATAAAAAGCCTCAAAATATGAATAGTATTAGTATTTACTCCATCAGATATATATTGAACTATAGACAGTTTTCATTCTGTTGTTGATTTAGAGTCAATTCACAATTTATTTACAAATTTGAGACGTTTCATGTTCACGGTATATATTTTGCATATATGCTATTTTTTGTATTTGTAATTAACCGTTTTTAGCATTTTAATCTCGAATGTAATTGATTGCTATTGGATATCATTCTATTTCTTGGCTGAAATTTGATAGTAACTAAGAAATCATAACATTGTAATACAATATAACTTTAAAGTTACCGCGTTTTTGTTCCATGATCATGAAATACTACTGGCTCTGGGTTTTTTAAATTATGTGCTTTGATTGTTTTGATTTTTCTTAATCAAAAATGAATTGAAGATTATTCGGAGAAAATTGTTTGCCTATTAGCTTCCATGTCATGTATGATAACCAGATGATATGTTACTAGTATGGGTAAATTAGTTTTCATGTATGAGAATCAGATGACATGTTACCCATATGAGTGAAAGTGTATACTATGTTAAGTTCTACATATTAAATTTTAATTCATTAATTGCTTCTGACATCAATTGGATGTTTCTATCATGCTATTTTTTCAATTTGCGTTGTTCTAGATTAATGATTTAAAATTTCATAATTCTTTAATTGATAGAGAGTATTGGCATAGTTGTTTTCTCTTCATCTTGTTTACTATCACTGATATGCCTGAGCAATGCCTGAATTCTAATGATGCCATAAGTAATGGGTTTATATATGCTACCTCTCCTCAGATTTTTGTTCCTGCTGTTTTATAGATAAGTAATGTGTAACAGATACATGTAGAAAACTCTTTTTTAGTTGATAGTTGTTTTGCTGAGATGTTCGTGATTTGTTTTAGCATGCGACAGTGTGTTCATGACCCTTGCTACCAGGTGAATGTATGTGCATGGTTGTGGTCAGCTTAAATTCCCAGATATAATGTCATAATTCTTAAATATATTCATCAAGGTGCTTTTTTCAGTATGTCGTTTCTACATTCAGCTTGTTTATCCAATCATTATCATTATATTTTTTTATGATAGGTGATATATCTGATGTGTCACAGATCAAGCTATTCTACACAATGTTTAATGGATAATATTATGCATAATTCATTTATCTTGGGACTAATTATACTTGCATTATTGAATACAACTATACATGTATTTCATTTTTTTTTATAGCAATTCATCCTTAAGTTTTTGAGTATATCATTTCAACCTCTCTGACCAGTTTGAAATTTAAATCCCTTTAAATTTAGTTGAGTGGCGGAGATATACATAATACATATACATACAATTATTACTGGTCAGGAATGTTGATTTTTTTTTATATTATTCCACAATACCGGACAATCACCTGTAAAATCTTCATAATGCAATCATTTAAAATTTCCGGACAACCGTTCGTTTTGTAAGGTAGAACGAGAGTCTCGACTTCCAGAAGAAGATATATAAAACCAAGAGATCGAAAAAAATTGAATTATCTTTTATTCAGGAACTCTGGATTAACACCATAATATCCCCGGTTACACACACACCGACCTTGGGTAAACAAAGCGTTGGCGTGGCATTTTCTACCGGTTTATTTGTTGTTACACGTATCTAAGTGGATAAAAGTAAATTATAGGAACATTTGAGAAAAACATGTGTAAAATTTGTTTTTAAATCATTAATTCTAGTCAATTATAAACTATTAAATTATGAACAATTTAAACCAGGTTTTACTATATATCGATTAACATTTAATTGTACTTTGACAACATATGTCATTGATAATTTAGCTTTTTTCGGTTTCTACTGCAAACATTAAAATAATTTATCTTTATTTTTCTAATGAACTTAATAAAAATGATATATGGAAAAACTCTTGTTAATTACAGTACGAAATTCGGGTCACAATTCAACGAATAACCATGTATCTTTATTGGGTACCCCAAAAGTCCAAATTATTTTTATTCTTATTATAATATTTTTTCTGTAAGAAATATTCGATAATTGGATACAAGTCCTTTCCCACCTCACAATACCTTCGATAGCAAATTTCCATTCACCGGTTGATAAATAAACTGTTTCTTGGTTTCTACTGTCAAACACAGTCTAAATATATGTTTTTGCAGTTTTGATACATTTGTATTCGACTTCAAGGTACTTGTATGTTCCCCTGCAAGGATCCCCAAAAACTGTGTTGCTGGCAGAGAGGATACATTCAGACGTGCCATCACAAGCTTCACTGACCTTGGCCATTGACGACGTTGCCTTACATTTCACGTTATATGTAGCTCTGTTAGGACACACCGACTTCGTTGTGCGACCATACATAGAAGACATGACCTTTATGGTTTCTCCGGCATCACACTTGATTGTTTTCCTCCTCCCTTCACAAACCACCTCTGAGGTTATTAGAAAAAGCATATATAATTATTGTATTATTTTGACACCATGACAGAATATTATTAGCTCAGAGTCATTTTAACACAAAGTATTTCTCTTTACTTTACCTATACTATACTTTACCTTTAAAAATATGTGTAAAATAGTTTTCCGAATTTCCCCTTTAGAAGTATTTACTTTTCCAAATATTTACGTACCAAGTTTTATTAATGACAATAAGGTAACTACAAGTATGTATGTTATTTTATAATAAACACGCTTACAAAAATAGAGCAATTTTTTTTTCTTCCGAAAAACCTACTTTTGTTTAATGCTATGAAAACGGTTGGACCATATTGCAAATTTGTTATGAAATATGGACGAGCCTAGTGATTAAATGTTGATTTGGCTAGTCTTGGCAAAGTCTTTCTAGGTCTTCATTTGTATTTGCAAGTCCGTCAAGTTTTACCTCTGAAGGGTTACATTTAAAATAGAACTTTCCCGCTGTCTCCGACCCCGTACTATACGATGCGAAATGAAAGTGCGAAAGTTTAAAACAAATCACTGTAATGAAGCGTACGCATAGTTGATTCTTTAAATGAAAACACACACAAACAGATTCTATCGTACATATTACACATTTTTTCATAAAAGCAAAATGTGACACCTGACACTTTCTCGACTTGATGTAATCAACTGCAATTATCGTATTGTTCTTAAAATCTCTCGATTGTCTTTCAAAGCCATACTGGCTCATGTAAAAACACGAACCCGTGAAGCTGTCCTATGTT